TTCTCTTTTACATGTTTTATTCTCTTTTTATGTTTTATTTTACATCTTCTTGAAGTTTGCATAAACCAGGACTACTTTGAATTTAATAATAAAATATATACAAATAACAGTACAGGACTTATAATGGGTAATCCTCTAAGCCCATTGCTATCAGATATTTTTATGGATCATCTAGAGACAAAGATTTCAAAACATCCCGTATTCAAACAGTTTTTATATTGGTGAAGATACGTAGACGACGTACTGGTATGTTTCACAGGAACTAACAGGCAACTCGACCAATTTTTATCATATATTAATTCACTTCATACTCATATTGAATTTACAATAGAAACAGAACAAAATCAATCCATAAATTTTTTAGATTTAAAAATTAGCAGTCTTCAAAACAAACATGACTTCTCCATATTTCATAAACCTACCCATACTGACACGACTATACACAATTCGTCATCCCATCCAACACAACATAAACTGGCAGCTTATCATAGTATGTTACATAGATTAACAGAAATTCCGATGTCAAAATACAACTTTGAGACAGAATTAAATATAACTAAGCAAATAGCAGTAAACAACGGATACAAAGAACAAACAATTAATAAAATGTTAAATCAAAAACTACACAAGAAAGCCCTGAAATTAGTATTTCCACCACCAGAGAAAAAAACCCAGTACCTTCTGCTCGATTACATATACAGGCAAAATAACAACAAAAATTGCCAAACACATAAAAAAGAAAGGAATAACACCAGCTTTCCGAACAAATAACAACCTAGGCAAGTATATTAAAAATAACAAGAGCCAAAATAAAAAACACTTAAATAGTGGTGTGTACAAACTTCAATGTGGCGACTGCCCAAAAACTTACATCGGTCAAACTCGTAGAAACTTTGATAAACGAATAGCAGAACATAAAAGGGCTTTCAAGAATAGAAAAACAGATTCGACATACGCACTTCACCTTCAAGATCATAATCATCTTTGTTAGAATCTATGGAAATCAAACAAATTAAAAAACACAAATATAATTCTGAATGACCAACTTGAGACAAACAGCTCTCCCCTCCTCAACCTATTTCATTAGAGACTATAAATTTGTAAACCCAAGCCAAAATAGATCACTTGAGAAAGGCAATCAGCCGAAACAGCTGTAGTGATAATATTTAAAATAAAGTTTGTGGAAGTTTGAAAACAAAGTTTCCAGTGTTTTATTGTTACATAAAATGAATTTCCATCAAGTAACGGTCGAATCCATCAATTAGAAATATATATTCTGGGTAGGAGAAAACTCTTCCACCTTATTTTTTATGATATTGATTAGAAGTTTTAAGTTTAAATGTATTCTTCAATTCGTGAAAACACTGCGTATTATAATATCCAAATCCACATATCCAAATATACTACTTTTTGGACGTCCTGTACATAAATTTTTACGACATTAACTAATTAATTGATTGCCAAGACTGTGACCTTTCGCTAAATTCTAATAAAATTAAGACTAGTATTCCCTTTACTGGCTAAAAACGAGTGTTCAAGTGCGTACTTCTAATTAAAACAATGTTACAACTTGAAGAGCGAGACGAACAATGTGACACCATGACATACGTATGACGATATTATCACAGTTTTTCTTAATTTGCGTCATAAAGCATATTTACTGGCATAATTTTCGTAGTTGCTTCGAGATATTGATATAATTTATAACGTTACTTTACGGTAATCCTGAATTCTTTTTGGCATCTAAAATTCTTAAAAGTATATACAAGTATGTACATCTGTGAAGAAACTCACAGATTACATTATTTATACGAGAAAAATAAGAAATACAGTTCATTCTAAATAAAAAATTAAACACCTATCGATGCATAATATCAATATAAAAGGTAAAACATTTATGCGTCATAAAGTATAATTATTATTGGTTTATTTTTTAGTTTCATTGTGATAATGATATAGATTGTAGTTTATAGTAATCGTGACTACATAATATATTTTACATAATATATTTAACAAGAACTAAAACCAATGATTACATTTTATCATAAATAGTAAACAAACTGCATTAAATTCATCCATTGTAGATCCCCAGATCGAATGCCTAAGGAGAAGAATGAACGTTTAGTGAATGGCTCTTGGTGACATTGGCAATGCCTTAATTGAACGTCTTCGATAGCACTAAGTCCTACACGAGACGGAATGAGTGAAGGCGAGATGCCAGCTCTGTAGAGCCCAAATCCTATGACTAAAGTATCGAAACCTCAAAAAAAGAGTCCCTGACAGGTTGGGGGGTGAGGCGTAGAGTTAACACCCCAACTTTTTACAAAAATATTGTTACCAGAATTCAAGAAGGTTACATATTGAAAGCTAGACGACGACTTTACTAATTAATATTTTGTTACAGGGCACTTTGATAATTCCTGATGATGAAATTGAGTTAAAACTTTTTTTCGACAAAACTTTGGAACGACCACCATATGTAATATTGTTTTGTCACAAACGCTGAACATCGAAAATGAATTCAATTGGATTCAACTCGCAATTATAAGGTGGAAGTTTCAAAAAAGTAATAACATACCATGAATTCTAGCCATTAAATCAACAGCATATTTTTGATATCTACAACGATGCCCCTTGATTATTGTCATTTGACCATATCCTCTGTAAACGGAATGCAATTTTCTCGTTCACCAGCTCTGCATACGGATTTTCAATCAGTCATCGTTGGAATCCGTTTAACAAGGCCGTTGTGATAAGATGCATTATCCAATACAATGACAGAGTTGCTATCTAAACGCTGGAGAATGTTCTCGAAGCATATGGAACTCATTTCTTACGTCTTTAACAAAGCCTTGTGTGTTATCTAATAAATTTCAGGTATCTTACTTATTTAGCTGTGGATTTACAAACAAGGAATTAGACAGGGATACTTTTCGCGCGAGGGTACCTTTTATCCAGATATATAATACAAATATACTAAGCGCTGCAATACAGGTCCGTTCCTCCCGTGCGATAGACAGACTCAAATCAGTCACTGCAGTCTTTCTAATGAGCCGTGTTTATCGACCACGTGACCTTCCCATTGGTCATTAAGGTCACGTGGTTGATAAACCCAGAACATTAGAAAGAGTTGCAGGATGTAGGGACTGCTGTGCGTCGGTTTTTCTCTGTCGCATTGTGAGAACGGGTTGTATTGCAGCGCTGTCGATTAGTATATATAAGTATGATCACAGCTTTACCAAAAGAAACCCCCCCCCCCCCCCAGATGGACAAAACTCTACAAAAAGCTCAGAGTGAGAAGAAACTCATAATACACACACAAGGAAGATAGTTCGTAGCTCAAATCACACAGATTATCGCACATCGCCTCGTTCACAGTGGGCCCAGCAGCTCAACTAGGATACAATCTGTATTATGGTATCGTATAATATTTATATATTTTCCTTATTATAATATAGATTATACACTAATTATGATTTTTTGTCCACAGGTCACCTACAAAAAAAATTACAAAAAACACAAAAAACCGGCTTCGGCCACCAAAAAAACTAACAAAAACCCCAAAACCCGGGCACATAGGGCCCAACCCCCTTGAGCACCAAGTCGCTGAACTGAGCCAGGACTCAGAGCGGAGACTTGAGGTCCAAGTAAGCAATTTTAGTTCGCGGATAAGCCATATTAAGATAACAGGAATATAGCGGAGATGCGCTGTCCTGAGTTTTTGCATTCGGTTAGGAAACCATGTTGGGGTTCTATTACCCAGGACCTCCACATGAAGAGCATTTGGCTGATTGTTGTGCCTCTATAGGGCATCAGAGTGCTATAGGGGGGAAAGGGATGGTCTAGAGCATTGGAGCACGGTGGGGTGACTCCTGTTTTTTACTCGAGTTAACACACCTTGCTCCAATGAATTGTTACACCCGATCGTACTACCTGGGAGAACATTTCTCATAGGCTTGGTTCAATCAAATTGCTTGCTTGCTTGCTTACCAAAAGAAACTAACGGGCAACGTATACGAAGATAATACAACATTAGGGTAGGCACGAGGAACAAAACAAAATAGATTGGTGATCAATTTTTCTCTTGGCTTATCGTCGAGAAAGACATGTTGAACGACTATTCGTTTTTTCGCCTGAGTTGGTATCCAATACGTACTGCGCCATCGTTGTGTATGCATACAAACATGCAAAAATTGATATTACCAATGTTACCGCCGACGTTGAAAGTTGAATAATTAGTTTATAAGATTATATTTTAACAAATTTCAAATATATGGTCACCTAAACGTAATGTAATAACGCATATTAATAAGAAATATGCTATAACCTTTATTAATAAGATAAACACCGAATACGAGTAAAAAAAAACCCAACAAAACACATTTCCCTAACAGCCTCAGCATCTACTTTTAAGTACACTACACATTTATAACTATTTCATCGTTAAATATTTGTCTATCGCATTGTTTGTGTATTAATTCCGCATTTTTTACATTACATTAAAGATCAAGGGGCTAGATAACAGAGATATATATAGTTGATTAAGAATCCATTTTGGAACTCAGATGCTTCAGTTTAAGTGGAGAACTCTTCACAGTAAATAAACAAAAAGTTCCAAATGGTACAGCAATATAGAGACTCATGTCAATGTCATAAATATTGAATATACAGAAAAGTAAATGGAACTTCTTGATATAATATAATAAAGACAATTTTGTGTTAAAAACGAAACAGTGGTTCAAAATTTCCATTACTTAAGATTTACAAATAATGAATAAAACAAGATTTGGATACCTTGGGTTAGAATGTTGCTAGTTTGAATACCAACAGAGGAAAATTCTGCATATTTTCTAGACTACAATAAAATGTTCGTTATACTTTAAACAATGCTTGTCGTCAGAGATATAATGTACTTAAAAATGGATTTTTAGACCATAAGCACCACCCCGCGTACGACCTAAACCATAAGCACCAACAAGCGAAGGTTAGCAAACACTTACAGCATTCTTTTTGGGTATAGGCGTAGGTTGAGAACAAGTGACAGTAGGGGAGGAGGTACCCGCGTCGATCAGTACCTGGGTGGCCTCCTCCCCCAATTCGCAAGAGGTCGACGAAGCGGTCGATGATGTCCGCTTGTGTCCGCCACCACCTGACGATTTGGACGAGTGCCTCGTTAAGGATTTGGTCCAAGCATGGATACTGCCTGCGCGAGTACTGCCCTTGCTGGTCGTACTTGACTCGCTGCTCTTACGTGGAATTGTAGAACTATTGAACCTGCAAGAAAACGGTTTGGGGAGCGCTACTAGAATACTCGGTACACAACAAAGAGGTGATTCAACTTAATCGAACGATGAGGAAAATAATACAGAATGATACAAATAAGCAAAACGATGGATTATATGAATATTAAATACACATAATTATATACAATATTATATTGTTACATAGACAAGAAATATCGTAATTCATAACGCCAATGTAAATAAATATTTTCTGTACATCGTTTTTTATTTATTTTAATGAAAAATGTTTAATATCTCCTACTATGTTCATACGGTATTCGTTAATTTTGAGCAAGCATGTAATAAAGAACCACCATGAGCGGTTTCTGGTGGACCATGTATAAAAAAAGATTTCACACTGAATAGTTTAAGGTTTAAAGGCAATATCTAGAACCATCATTTGAAAATTGAGTTACTAACCTAAGATGGTCGCTTTGTGTGCTAAAATGATGTGAAAACGTAATAGTTTTTGAGTATCTTTGATCATGAAGCAGACTTATAGCAGAATGAATGAAATGAAAGGAAACGAGTGGTTTGAGAACATTTTCAATGAGAACGAGAAATAAATTATGCAGTGTCTATCAGCCAAATTGAATAAATTTGATTAGAAATAAATGGGGACGTGTTCGAAAAAACGCTTAGACATATCAATTCGTATTTTTTGTTATACATTTTTTTTTTCAACAAATACTGTTTATACAGGGTATAGCATGTAACGGTGGCAGATACCAACTGTCTTATTTTAAATACAACATCCTCTACCGGGTGTGGCGCTATAAGTTTTGATTAAAAGTAATGGCAAATAAAGTATAAAGTTATGTTTAATTAGTTATGGCGGATCAGTATACAATATCAAACATATTGTAAAGGTGTCGAGCAACAGGCCCAAAGTTATGAGGAGGTGCTCCATCTTGCTGATACCAAGTCTCTCCATTTCTTGACGTATGCAACGCCGGTCATATGGATGCTTCTAAAAGGTGGCAATATCTTTCACCATTTAAATTTTTATCATTAAATTCACCATAAAATGAATGATCTTTCTTACTCAAACATGCCGTTCCTTATATTAAGTTACAGTAAATGCTTAGCAGCCTCTGGTATTAGATGGATACTTGGGTTTGACATCCATATCGACATTTATTTGTCGTCGAATTATTGGCTAACATCTTTAGTGATGTTAGCCAATACCGGCGATATATTGACGACATAGTCTTAACCGACTTCAGTGGGATGTCGCTATAACGACGACATAAGATGGCAACTTTTGTCGCTTCAACTTATACCTTTTTGTCATTTGCCAATACTCCAGTTATCACTGATAATGGTCCGGTAAGACCGAAAATGTTGTGACGAATTTTTTTTTTTTTTGATATTTTCATTACTTCCATCATTTTATAAGTACAGTAGACTCCCGTAAGTTCGACCTCGGTTAGTTCGGTCTCCGCTTATTTCGGCCGGCTCTCTGAGCATTAGTCACACTTGGCAAGCGCCAGCCAGACACGAGCAGGTAAAGCGCTGATCTTTACGGTAAGCTTACAGTCAGTGATGCTTGTTTCACCTGCGATTTTTACTGTTTATATAGACAGTATACTTGTTGTGTGTGTGTGGGCAATAACTGTTGCGCGTCGTGCATTAAACTGCTTTAAAATGAGTGAAACGCGTAAATGTAAGTACAAGTCAATGGAACAGAGACTACAAGCTCTGGAAAGATTAGACAAAGGAGAATCCGTGCAAAGTATTTGCAGAGGTTTAAACGTGGGCAAAAGTACAATCAACAACTGGCGACGCAATAGAGAAACTATCGAAGACTTTTGTAGACAGATTTTGAAACTGAAAAAGTTTTACAAAAGCGTTGCACGCTGAGAAAAGCAAAACACGAATTGGTGGAAAATGCTCTGTAGTTGTGGTTCGTTGAAGAACGAACACGAGGAACACCGTTAAGTGGACCAATCCTAAAAGAGAAGGCTATGATCTTACACTCAAAGTTTCAACCAGAAGAGGCATTCTCGGCTAGAGAGGGATGGCTCTCTCGATGGAAAAAGAGACCCAGGATCCATTTTATTGGAGTTTGTGGCGAGAAGTCAGCAGACCCAAACGGTCAAACATTTTTCTGCAAAATTTTTAAAAACCATTGGTGGCCAAAACTTGAGTCCAGAGCAAATCTACAACATCGACGAAAACTGGGTTAGATTTTAGTCTTCTGTCCAGAAAAACCTTTGCCACCCCACAAAAACGGCAGGATTTAAAGTCAGCAAAGAGAAGATAACGGTTGCCTTGTGCTCAAATGCCTCGGAAACCCACAAGATACCCCTATTTATCATTGGCACAGCAGTAAAACCGAGAGCGTTTAAGAACATAAACATGGAAACTCTACCAGTGTATTACCGGTCGCAGAAATCAGCATGGATGGACACATATTTGTTCAGGGAATGATTTGTGTGTGAATTTGTTCCGAAAGTAAAAAACCATTTGACAAAATTAAATCTGCCCATCAAAGCACGTCTACTGCTTGACAACGCGCCTACTCACCAGGAATGTTTTCAGTGTAACGATGAAAAAAAAAAAATTAAACTACTGTTCCTGCCACCCAATGTAACCAGTCTTCAACAGCCAATCGACCAATGGATGATTTAGTGCTTCAAAAGAAAGTATCGTGGAAAACGGCTTTCTGAAGTTCTTTCAAAACTGGAGGCTGATGGCAACTTAGACCACTTAAAAGTGCTGAAGTCAGTTAATATGAAGGATATTGTGTACATGTCGGCCAAGGTATACGACGAAATATCACCGTCGACGTTTGTAAAGTCTTAAAAAAAGACTTTGGCCAAATATAGAAGATAAGATTGACCAAGCAGCAGCTCATTCAAACAACATTCTTGTTAATGAACCTGATGACAATCCAGTTCTATTGCTCGAACTTCAGCACCTACCGAACTGTGTTCTTATTGTTGAAGATGTTTTGGAGTGGATTAACTTTGAAAAAGAACTACACAGATGATGCTGAGAATGAAGAGGAACGCTGAATGCAAAGCAGCTTTACAACTGGCAGCTACCTACGTCGAATAGCAAAAATAAGCAACTGCCATCCGATCGATGTAATGATTAATAAAAAGTGGCGTGATTTTGCACATCAAAAATCATTAGAAATGAAAATTCAAAAGTGTTTAAGAAGCCAAACCACCAATGTGTAAGTATCGTTTTATAGTATTTTTGTAACGGTCTATCTTTTCATATGGCGTGTTAAATATATGTTAGAGTATTCCTCTGTGTTGTCTCCTTCTTAATGTACGTTACAAGTGTTTTGTTTTTGCTAGATCCATACAAACAATAAATGGACATTTTTTTAGATAAGCATCGGTTAGTTCGGCCTAGGCCTAGAGTCCGATCCCGAGGTGGCCGAACTTACGGGAGTCTACTGTATACCATTTACACTGGAAGTGTTTAAGTTGTTTTAACTATGTTATACAGCCAACCACTGGAAACCTACTCTTTTATAAGTTAATAATTTTCTTTCTTAATGTTAATTTTTAAATGCAAAGCTACTTGTGTATTATTTTTTTAATATTTCGAAATAATTGAAGATAGATCCAGAATATTGTACATGAAATATGTCTAGAATATTCTGAAGAATCCAAAAATTGAATAATATACGGGATGTTGTATTAAAAATGAGAAAGTTAGTATCAGGACAGTTGCAAAACACACCCTGTACAAAAAGTTTTTGTTGAAAAAAAAATGCGAAACTAAAAATTGAATCGACATGCAGGCCAGTCGTCAGAAATTAGACCTCTAAAAATCATACGAATAAGCTGAATTATGCTGAAAATGTCAATTTTGGGACCGCAAAAAGATGAAAAAAAAAATTTGCGACTTCCACCCCAGGGTTTTTGGATCTAGATAATTTTGAACAGAAGTGTTAATTAGCACTTTTTGTGTAGACTGTAGAATGGACCGTTCTCTCAGAAACAACGCTTGAAGCGACCGGCGATTTTAAATGTCAGTTACGCACAAAAAATCAATTTTTTCAATAAAATTTGAATCAACTTCATGATAAAAACTCAATTTCTATTGATCAGATTGTCATATCGACAAAAATTAAAATGAGTTTCAAAGAGAGCAGCTTTTCAAAGAGTTTCAAAGTTGGGCAATTTTTGGCATGTTTTACGATTTTCTTGACAATAAAATTTTTCACTTTCATTGACCGGTCGCTGTGGAATTTTCATTGTTAGAGCCTAATTTTCAAAACCTACTGAAATTTGGATATTGAGATTCGGCAACAAATATTTGAAATATGCCTAAAAAACGCTGAATTTAAACTTTTAATTTACTAACGATCTCACGTCGCTGAAAATGCTTCCACGAAAAGGGCTTTAGATGAAATTTTGAGAATGGATGGAAGTGATCATCTCATAAGAATCGTAAAAAATGGCAAAAAATGAGTAACGTTTATTTTATTTAACAGATTTATAGAAAGTGACTTCACTGGGTACTAAAGCTGAACTCTTCGCCTTTAAGATATTTTGATTTTTGTTTAAGACATTTTGTTTAGGATACTCTTATTCAAAAGATCGAATTTTTACCGTCTATACAAATATTATATAGATATACTTGATAAAAAGTTTATTTAAAAAATTTATTTCACGTGCTTAACTGACATTCAAAATCGTTTCTAAAAGAACAGTTCATTCTACACAAAAAGTGCTTATAAACATTTTTGTTCAAAATTTGCTCAGCCACATTTCTTGGTTGTAACATTTTTTCTACGGCGTATAGTTTCTGGTTAAATCAATGTTTTTTCCTTTACCCCCATACGAGGGGGTTTAGGGGTAAGCCCAAGGGTAGGAGTCGTGACTTTTTTGCATCCTTTTTGGGGTCCTAAAATTGACATTCTCAGCAAAATTTAGCTTGTTTGTATGATTTTTAGAGGTTCAGTGTCATTTTGATCTCTGACAGACTTGAGTAATGTTAGAGAACTGTTTCGAACACGCCCCCATTTATTTGTAATCAAAATGTCCATTTGGCTGATACACACTGTATAAGATGAGCTTTGAGGTACAACAACACTGAATATTTTGGGTAGTTAAAATAGAAGAAAAATAATAAAACATTTTTCAGAAGTGAACCGTGTTTAAATGAACCAGTGAATAACAGAAAAAAATAAAAATTAATCTTTATAGGATGTTTATCTCTAAGAGATACAAATTTTAAGCTATGAAATACAGGGAGAAAGGCTCTTGAAGCTACCCATCAGATCAGGTGGCTTCACCGCAGCAAGGACTCTTAGGACCATTTCCTAGGACATCCAAGATAACAACTAGTAAACCTTCTCAAGATTATGTCTTCGGATATGAGAAAATTTGGTGAAATGTGGTTTTACAGAAGAATGCTTAGAATAGCATGGACACGGAAGAAAACGAACACGGAAGTATTGTGAGAAATAGCTAAAGAATACGAAATAATAAATACAATAAAAATAATAGTTCTATGGGAATATCTGGGACACGCAATGAGGGGGCAGCGATATGAAATGATAAGGTTTGTAATGGTTGGAAAATTTAAGAAATTGGTTTAGATTGCAGAGCAGCAGTAAATATAGTAAAGATAGTGATGATGATATCCAACCTCCTATTGGGAGACGGCACTCAAAGAAGAGAAAGATATGAGAACTTATTACCCAAAAGATTCTCATGTCACTAGGAGATGAGATTTACTATATTTGTTTGTTGTGGAAGGACGTTTACTTGTGGCAGCTATCGATGCCAAAATAAGTGGTAATAGATTATTATAGACCTTTAGACTTAAACAATGAAAAACCTTGCACAGGAAATGGAGATGAGTGGACTATTTAGATCAACAGCGTCAAAAATAAACATAGCTCTGAATATTCATGTATAAAAATGTCTATTATTTTTTGGATGGGTCTTCTATTTTATATTTATACCGATTGACGGAAAAAATTAATAAAAACAAGTAATAAATGTTTGGTACTTACGCTCCTGAATCAAGTTTTGGGCAAGACTGTCCCGTGTTTTTGATTTGTTCCGGATGACAAGCTTGACAACGGGTTCCCCTTAACACCTGCTTGCTGTTAGCTCTCTTTCTTGGCGTGCCATGTTTTAGAATATTCCGTGGAAATTTTGATAATTCGTCCAATTCCAGTATGAAGGCTGAATAGTTTACTAATCTCTAGTCGAGTGAAAATTTTTCCTAATAATTTACAAGCACCAACTTTCAAAAACCTAATATTCTACAATTTTTTAAATAGCTATTTTAGTCCAGTCTTTTATCACATATTTCACTTAGTTCTTGTAGGGAAGATGTAAGACTTCGTAGAAAAGTCTGAAAAGAAAAATTACTAATTAGTAATCCAGTTGATTGGAAATTTACTTCTACATCTACTGTAATACAGCTACAAAGTTGTTTATCTAGAGTGAGTTTTAAGTATGGAACGATTTTTATAGATTTTGGTGTATTAGGGTCTTGTGTTGCGGCCGATATTATGGTGATATTTACATTGTTGTCAGGTTATTTATTTTTCTGAAAATACAATTAACTTTCTTATTTCAAATGGATCACCCTGTATATTTTTTGCCTTTTAAAGTCCTTAAGAAATACGACATGTTCTGTCAAAAACATGACATGATAATCGCAAATACATGGTTCAAATTACACAAAAGAAGGTTATACACATGGAGGGGACCAGGAGATAATTCACTACATATGATTAGAAATCAGATAGAATATATTCTGGTAAACAAGAGATTTAAGAATGGCGTCACCAGAGTAACGACATATCCTGGTGCAGATATCGGTTCAGACCATAACCCTGTAATAACTGACATCAAAGTGAAGCTCAAAAAAGTCCAAGAAAGCCCCAAAACACCAAAATTAAATATCTCAATATCCAACAAAACGTTAATAGAAAATGACTTAAACAATGAACTAAAGAAACCAATAAATGATAAAGATCTTACCTTGAAAGTAATAGAAAAATATTCAACAACGTTACACAGGCACAAAAAACAACAATGGATGACTGATGAAATCATGGAATTAATGGAGCAGAGAAGGAAACTGAAAGGTAACAAGACAGAATATAAGGAAAAACATAAACTAATTAAACAAAAAATAAAGGTGGCTAAAGAAAAATGGATGGAGGATAAATGCAAGGAAGTAGAAAAGTTGAATAAAAAACATAATACGTTTAATATGTTTAAAAAAGTTAGAGAAGTAGCTGGTCTTTATCATAAGAAAACTCCACATACTATAACCAATTCGTCGGGAAAAATGATAATAGACGAACATGAAATTCAAACAACCTGGTGTAATTATATAAGTGAACTGTATAATGATGATAGACCCGAAGAACTGGAGACTTTAGTTGAAGGTGAAGGACCAGAAATACTAAAATCAGAAATACTACATGCTATAAAGTTAGCAAAAAACAAGAAAGCCGTTGGCCCTGATAACATACCGACAGAGATGTTAAAGCTTATAAATGAGGAGAACATTGGAATACTGGTCAAGCTTTTCAATGATGTTTATTCGACTGGTGATATCCCTGAAGATTGGTTAAAGTCCGAATTCATAACACTACCAAAAAAACAACGTCCGAAAAACTGTAGCGATTATAGAATGATAAGCCTTATGAGCCACACTTTGAAAATATTTCTACGCATTATCCACAGTAGAATCAGAGATAAATGTGAAGAAGACCAGGATGAAACACAATTTGGCTTCAGAAATGGTCTGGGAACTCGGGACGCCCTCTTTGCACTAAATGTATTACTGCAGAAATGTCGAGATCAAAGGAAAGACGTCTTTGCTGTATTTATTGAATATGAAAAGGCCTTTGATCGAGTACAGCATCACAAATTTAATTACAATATTAAAAGATAAAGGAGTTGATAGTCACGACATACGATTCATAGAAAAGTTATACTGACGCCAAACAGCGACAGCTTGCATAAACGGAAAATCAACAGAAATATGTAAAACACAAAGAGGTGTCAGACAGGGTTGTATACTATCCCCACTGTTATTTAATTTATATTCAGATAGAATATTTAAAGAAGCGCTGCATAATTTGGAATGGGGCGTGAAAGTTAATGGAATTCTGATAAATACAATCAGATATGCAGACGATACAGTTATTTTAAGTGATGACATAATTGGACTACAATGCCTTTTAAATGCCATTGATACAGTGGGAAGAGAGTTTGGCCTAAACATAAACTGTTCAAAAACAAAACACATGGTGTTTAGCCGTTTAGCACATCAAGATGCACGATTATATGTTGATGGTCATATAATTCAAAGAGTGTCCAGTTTTAATTATCTTGGTTGCCATATTACTGAACAACTAGATCCAGATCAAGAGATAAAATGTAGAATCAATATAGCCCGCACGACATTTTTAAAAATGAGGTCAATCTTCTGTAATGATAACTTGCAACTTCAACTTCGAAAGCGCATTGTTAAATGCTACATTTGGTCAGTCCTCTTATACGGTGTCGAGGCATGGACATTAAAAATATCCACCATTAATCGTCTGGAGGCCTTTGAAATGTGGCTGCACAGACGTATACTAAAAATTCCATCGACGGCTATACTGACAAATGTGGCAGTCCTTGAGAGAGCAAATGCTGCTCGCGAGCTGCTTGATAACATCAGATGTAGAAAGATAGCCTATTTTGGACATGTAGAAAGGGGAGACCGATATAATATTCTTCAACTTATTATGATGGGTAAAATCGAAGGACGCAGAGGAATTGGTAGAAAGCAGGCCTCTTGGTTGAAGAATATCAGGGAGTGGACAGGAATAAGGAAAGCTGAGCAACTCTTTAGAATAGCTCGAGACAGAGACAGTTTCGTCATATTAATCGCCAACGTCAAGGGACTTGATAGGGCACGTTAAGATGAAGAAAGTCCTTAAGAAATAATGAACATTTTTTATGCAATATTTCCTATACATAAATGCCATTATTTCGCAGTTATTGCTATATTTACATTATCTTCACCGAAGTTAAAACATTTAGATGGCTATCACGGTTACAATTACAATATTGTCATAAATAAGTCAACAAGAAACGTGTAATATTTTTCAATACTCTATATGCTAACCGAAATCCCATAACAAGTCAGTAAATTAGTAAAAAAGTTTAACGAAACTGGTTCAGTAAAAGATTTATCAAAATCAGGGCGCAGAAAAACTGTATTAGATAACTGACTAATGCCTTGCGTTGAGTTTTCACAACAGTTGACACAGCTGACTACGGCGTCATCTTTTGGAAAATGACATGACTTATTCGGGCAATCAAAGCTCAGATTTATTTCACAACATTTGTATGTTTTAATGGGAATTGGTAGCAAAACTTAGGTTTATATTAACAAATAGCATATTAAAAGTTGTAGGTTAATTTTGACTTCTGTGAACACATGTTTTTAGTTAGTAGTAAGTGGTTTGTGTATAAATTAACTGGATAAAAATTTGGTTTTTGGTAGCAACGTAGTGTTAAATCACTGAAAAAGATATATCTATCAAGTAAGTGCTATTATTTTATCTGTGCTAGTTGTTACAACTGCCCAATTATCAGTACAAGGCATATTATTAGTACATAAAATCAATTTTGTTCTAGAAGGTGGAAATAAGATGTCAAATCAACTGGCTCGACCAGTTTCGATCTTACTAGTAATAACAGTAGTCCTAAAATTTTTTTACGAATCAAGGGCATATAAAATTGTGTCCATGCTGAAAGAATCGAACTTCATTCGGCTTCCAGTGCAGATTTTTTCCTAGCACCTCCTGATCGCACTGAATTGTCTGATGAAGATAGTGGAGATGAAGACTGTGGAGAAACATTCAATATCCTAAACAAAAATATGTTGGATGCGGAATCAGAAGCTTTAATTCATTAAGAAGAAGAATAAAAACAAAAATAGAGACACAAAATGAAGAGCTATTCAAGTGGCATCTACTGAGATTCGTGCAAAAAGTGTAACTTTCCCTACCACGGAAATGGATTCAGGGAGATTTACCATATGAAAATTCCCTTTATTTGGATATTGAACATAAAAAAACTCAATGGAACACATACACTCCTTCATTTTATTCACCACCACTCACTCTATATTGTTCTGAAGCTATTTTCTTGTGGCATTGTAAATTAATTACTATTTATAACTGGGAATAAGCCACATTAAAGATAAATTATCAGAAGAATTTTTTCACTATGTAACAAAAAACAAAATTTGTTTAATTTACTATTTGTATTTTGAGAACGATTTCCGAATTGGAAATTGAAACGTCAATAAATGTATTTTTATCTTTAATGTGGCTTATTCCCAGTTATAAATAGTAATTAACCACTCACTCTTTTACAGACTTTGATTTTTTTTCAATGAAGAGCTTTTAACAAATATTGTAAAGGAGACAGTTCATTATGCTCTTCAAAAAGGTACTGCTTTAGAACTTAGAATAGACGAGTTAAAAGCCTTCATAGGGATTTTACTAGTTAGTGGGTATAATACGAATTCAAGAAGACGCATGGACGGAAGAATCTGATGACGTTAAAAATATACTGATTTCAAGTAACATGTAACAGTTTGAAACCATTACAAGATTCCTCCACATTAACGATAACCTAAACATAGATCGTTCAGACAAAAAATACAAAATTTCTCCGAATTTTTAACATTTTTAACATTTACTGAAAACACTGTATGGGAAACCGAATCTAGCGTGGATGGGGCGATGATACCTATGTGCATCATGGTATAAATCGTGGTGTTGGAATCAGAAATCTGGTGACCTCATAGATTTCAATATTTATCATGGAGCCAAGGGAAAATGCAATGAATACAAAAAATAATTTGGCTTTGGAGGTGGAATAATATTGCAGTTTGCTCAACTTATTCCTAAAATTCAATGCGATAGGGTTATGCCTCATTGCTTATATGCTGGTAATTACTTCACCTTTATAAAACCAATTGATTTTTAACACCGAAAGGAATAGATTACGTAGGAACTACACGATCAAATAGAACAGAAAAGTGTCTATTTAATGAAACATGAAACAGCATAGTTACTCTGGCATTGAATTACCATAAAAACGACGCCAGTTTATCAAGCGAACAGATACGCCTTTGCCCAAAGCAAAAAAATCAAAGTAACAAAACCACATCTTATTCGTACTTATAATGAAGATATGGGAGGAACTAATAGGATGGATGAAAATGTTGCTTACTACACAACAAATATTCAAGAAATGGCATTGGCCTTTATTTATCTGGGGTATTGATGTCTCCATACAAAATGCTTTGTTAATTTACCATAGAAT